GCAGATACCCTGAGTTTAGTAATCCGTGAGAGGGAATGTGCTTGTGAACATAAAAAAACCCACAAAAACATGAGATCATTTTGCTGTTGGTGGAAGTCTCACATATTCAGCTGATAAAAAGCATCATTATGTAGCTGACAGAGAGAGGAAGGCCGCACGAGTAACGAGATGTGCGCAAAAAGGAGCCGCTTCGCGGGGAAAGGGGTGGCGCGAACAGAGTAACAACGAACAATTAGACAGAAATTGACGGTAAACTTCGTATTTTGGAGCGATCCCATCGACATATAAATATTGGACAATGGGTTTCCATAGACTCCAATAACAAGTTTTTGTGCTAAAATGGGAGGTGACCACCACCGCCATTTTGACCGTGTCACAGGTTCCGTCAAGCCCAGACAATTCCACAAAAGGGAAGAGAGGTGGAGCTGAGGGTGGCGCTGTAAGGCTGGGATCGACTGATGACACCCGGTCGAACTAGCTACAAGCTAACCTGAAGCTAATGCGAAGGTGGGAGCTAAGCTAACGGAGGTAGCAACTGAGCTACAACCGGAGTTAACTGTGCACAACACCAGAGCTTCTGAGTCAGAGATACGCCGGGCTGACCGCTGGGTAAAACCGGGTGGAACACAGAGGTCTCAGAGAGCTCCACAAGCCGGCAGCTGCACAGCAGACAAGCGCCGCTGTGCAGCGCTGCCGCTGGGGAGAACCGGGTGGAAAGGTTTCCATCCCAGAGCTCCACTAGCCGTCAGCCCGCCGCAGCACACAGAAGTCGTGATCAGACAGATGCGCCGAGCTGCGGGGAGAAGTGGCGTATTTTGGCGGTTCTGGCTTGCCATAAGAACCAGCCGTCAGCCCGCCGCAGCACACAGGAGCCGCGATCAGACAGAGATGGACCGGGCTGCGGGAGAAACAGCCGGGTGGAAAACATCGGTCTCCCGAGAGCTCAACAAGCCGATAGTTGTAACCCAGCTTCACTAACATGTTATATTTCAACCCATTTTCTAAAGTGCAGCAATATGTTAAATGCACTGGGTTTTACCCTATTACATTTAAATTTCATGGTTAAACAGTACATGTTAAAATCTAAGCCAGGGATTCCCAAAGTGTGGTGCGCACACCCCTGGGGGTGCGCGAGCTGCTGCTAGGGGGTGCGCGAGATGAAAAGTGTAATGGCTGCGGAGCTCAGAGAAGTCTGTCAAAAGTCACCATTAGCGTAGCCAGAAACTCATTTGTGGGTGGGCCAAAGAAAATGTAAGTGGGCCCAATAAACGTAATTGAAAACTAGTATATTTTGCTTGTGTGTGTGTGTGTGTGTGTGTGTGTGTGTGTGTGTGTGTGTGTGTGTGTGTGTGTGTGTGTGTGTGTCCTCCGCACATGCCCTAGCTCAGGGGTCGGCAATCCGCGGCTCTGGAGACACATGCAGCTCTTCCATCCATCTGATGCAGCTCTCTGTGCTTGTAAAATAATGAATGGGTATTTAAATAAAATGCTTTATATTTTACTGCATAAATTTTACATCTGTAAGCTAATTCTAAATGTAAAGATTGTCTGCGTAAACCTGAACAGGTCCAACCCGGTCTTACTGTGTGCCCGGGTTGATGCGTCATGCTTGTGCGTAATCATAGGTGCTTTCTGAGCTGAAGACGATGTGAGATTCTGGGATTCTCCTCAGACGCCACATTGGAGACAGGAACAAGCACTATTCAGCCAAAGTTTCATCATCAGGGAACATTTTCTAAGTGACAAGTCTCTCTGAGAGACAGGGTTTGGAAAACTTGCGCTTCAGTGGAAGGAATCTTCCCGCATGCGCTCTGGTTCTGCAACACGCTCCAAGCCCCTCTCCACATCTTCAGCTCGCTGTGCACCTTATGTACGTGCTGACTGAGCTGTGTCCAGCTCAGATGTTCAGAAGGAAATCTTTTCTTGGGTGATTTAGCTACATCTGCGATTTGCGAAACGAATAGTGTCAGTTCGTCTGCATGCGTCGGGGTAATTCTTTCTATTCTTTCTCCGTCAAAATAAACGGTCAAATACGGGAACTGTCCGGTCAACACAAGCCCTGCTTTTAACTGTTTTGTTTTCTTGTGAAAAGAGATATAATTTAACTAGATTAACACCAGAGCCAGGAGCACTGCGCCGGTATCTCCGTCGCTGTAAATGAGGGAAAAACAAAATGATCGGATCCTTTTCTGACCTTCCCCACCTACAAAGTTTAATTACAACAATCAAACGTGGCAGAGCCTAGATTTGTATTCTGAACAGTCTAAACATGTTTTAAAAAGAAACGTATGACAAAAGTGGCACCTGCTCAGTAAAACCACCAACAGGGTGAAAAATATCAAAATATTGTAGGCAGAGACAGGCTACAACTTCTGGATCCACTTTATATAAATCGTTTTATTGATTATATTCATATGAAAGATAACTTTGATGTACACGAGCGACCGATACCGGCTGCTGTCACCTGTTGTGAGCAGCGCTCTGCTGTCTGAGGGTAGGCCCCGCCCACAGTGCCGCGGCTGCTGCGGTGTTTTCTTTATTGTGGGAAACGGGTAATAATGGCTCTTTGATGGGAACAGGTTGCCGACCCCTGGTTTAGCGTGACGTCTGATATATATATATATATACATATGTGTATACATATATATATATATATATATATACATATGTGTATATATATATATATATATATATATATATATATATATATATATATATATATATACATATGTATATATATAGCCATGCCCTGATGTGGGGCTGGGGGGTGCGTCAACATGGTCGGGACATAGAAGGGGGTGCGCGGCTAAATAAGTTTGGGAACCACTGATCTAAGCTCAGCTCGGCAGTGACCTAAAATACATAAATGTAATTTTACTTACCGAAATAAATGAAGCGGACACTCCTTGGATGCTCTATTAGTGCAATTAATACCACAGCAAGTCATTTTGTCCAACAATTGCACAAATAATATCCAAAAAAGAATACACAAACACAGAGACTCAAAATCCCGGAGCAGTTTCCAAGCCAGACCGAGGTTCTACTGAGGCCTTTCCACGGAGCTAGCTCTGTGGTCACGTGGGTCTGATGCTCATTAATTATACAGAATTTTAGGCTTTCAGTACACTTAAACAGAAGAGTGAGAAAAAAATGCACCCCCCTCAGAGTTGTCATGAGTGTAAACTAGATCATTTAAACCAAAAACATGTTTTGGTACCAGGCTGTAAACATGTTTATTTCTGCTGTGAAATTGGTATTTTTAACATGGGAGTCAATGAGGACTTGCTCGCTTCTAACACCAGCCCCTAGTGGATGAGGGTGGAACTGCAATTTTTGCTACTTCCGGGTTGGCCTCAATTTTAAAGCCGCATTGTGGGGGCTTGAGCGGTCCGGACAGATCTATTGTCTCTGCAGTTTAGTAGGCTTTTATTAGGCTTATATAAAGGATGATGGGAAGGATAAATGTCCACCAGGCAGTTCAGATAGTACGGCTGTTTTTTGAACTGGAAGCAGAGGAAGTGGACAGAGACTCGCAGCCGGAGTCTGAGGCAGATAGCGAGGATGTTGATGACGATGTGGCAGATCCATCCTTCCTCATAGAAGAGTTGGGTCATGATGAGGTAGAGGATGAAGGCAGAGATGCAGCTCCTGGGAGATCCAACAAGAGGAGTGGGCGGCGCCGCGCAGCTGACAGAGCCACTCCCCACTCCAAAATGCATGTACATTATTGCCAAATTAATAAAATAAGTATAAATTCAGATAGTCCAGGTTGTCCTGGAAAAAAAAATTGATACCCCATAAGGCAATATTTATTGTTTTTATTAGAAAATACAAAAGAAAAACCAAAATGAGTCAAAAACGGTGATTTACACCCTGGACACCAGAGGGCTAATAATTTTTTTAAATATTTGTTATTTGCTATATTTATTCATATTTTTTATAAATGTACAGTCTAGATTACCATTCTAAATTATAAAAAACATTTGTCATAAATGTTTGTTGGTTTCACAGTAAAATAAACAACTTTTTTCCAATTCAGATTTTATGTTTTTGAGTGATTTGAGGTCTAATATGCAACCCCTTTATGTCCAAATATAAAAAATAAGTATACATTCATAAAGTCCAGGTTGTGCTGTAAAGATTGATGCCACGTAAGGCAGTAGTTATGGTTTTTATTTTGGAAATACAAAGGAAAAAACTAATTTAGTCAAAAACGGCAAATTGCACCCTGGACCCCAGAGGGTTAAAGTGATATAAGGCTACAAACTGGCTTGTTTTGACTAGCTTCACTGTAGTTTCTACTGGTGTAAACGGTCTTTTTGCCATCCATCATGGCAAAGAAGGCGGTCACATGAGTGGCGTGACGTCACGTGCAAAGGGTCAATAGCCATGAAACTCGCATAAGGGAGTGACTAGTGCATTTTAAAATGGGCTGCAGTACCCAGATTTGACCACAGGATGTCATTATTTGTACATAATGCACCTTTAAACACGGTTTCAACATACGTAAAAGTGTGATTTCAGCTACAAATCTCCATATCCTCTCAGTTTTATACTTGCTGTATATTTCTCCGTAGTCATTCAGCTCCTGACATTATCCATGAAACATCCTCTGGGCTCATAATTGCAGAGTGGCAAGGCTCAAAGTGAGCACTTATGAGAGCTTGGGGCTTTTTTGTTTTTGGCCCGAGGCTAAACTCGTATCTCATTCTTTATTTAAGACAGACTAATGGCTTCTGCAGTGGCAGTTTGCTGATGCCTGTTGTTATTCTGATTCTGTAACTGGGACTAATGTGACGGTGGGCCAGTGGCCAAACGGGAACAGAGGCTTGACCGCAAATCAGACTGTGCTTACTGGTGTTTTTTTCATATTTTTACCAATAATTACTGAGTAAAACCTTAAAGAACACATTTAAAATTTTGCAGGTTTCCGTTTGTTAGCAGATACAATTTACGGATTTCCGATTATCAGTACAAAAGCTGTCTCTTCCTCCCCGCAGCTGAAGTGCTACCACAAACGCTACCGCAGCCAGTGCCGGGATGTGATATTCCGAGTGCAGTTTCACACCTGTGCTATTCATGATCTGGGAATTGTCTTTGGGAAAGATGAGCTGGATGAGACCTTCAATGGTAAACGTTGTTTCCACAGACTCAGCCTGAACCTGCAGTAAAACTTCCTTTATTAAATAATTACCTTTAACTACCGTTATTTTGTGCAGATGACAGGTTTCCTGAATATGGGAAAGTTGAGTTTGTGTTCTCATTTGGACCTGAGAAAATACATGGTAAGTATAAAAAGTCCTTTTCTCGCTGTAGATTAAACCAGATTAAAGATGTTTTTAAAAACCCCATCCTGGTAAAGTTAGTGACTTAAGGACATTCATGTTTTCTGCTCTGTCTCTTCGTACTTCTGGTCAAGGTATGAACCACCTGGAAAATGGTCCGACCGTCTCGGTAGACTACAACACCCAAGATCCTCTGATCCGCTGGGACTCCTACGAAAACTTCAACCAGAGCTGTGAGGACGCCACCGACGGTGAGAATGGGATTCTTGATCATATCTAACTTACTGGGATTTCTGGAGGAATGTTTATAAATGTTGGAATTTCAGGCAGAAGCTTCATTTGTATCCTTAAAGAGCAAGTCACCCCCAACAAGAGTCTTACTCCAACTCCCATATTTGAACAACAAATTCAACAACACACACACACAGGCTCACAACAACATTGTGACATCATAATGTACCAGCTAACGTCATAGTGTACCTCTTAGCCAATAGAGCTCCGGGAGATGACGTCACTTCTCCCGGCATGCAACAGTTCAAATCGAAACGGCACCATCTTGGCAGGCAGAAGCCCGCAGCTGGACTATTTGTTATTGTCAGAAAACGCAATCAAACGGGAAATATGGTAGATTCCTGTTGTGCCCCAGGATGCAGAACAGACGGAGACGACATAAGGAATGAGCCTTCTACAGGATTCTCCAAGATCCGGAACGCGGCAAACGTTGGATCATTGTAATAAAACGCGCTAGTGACCGGGCTGAAATGAAGCTGTGGGACCCCGAGAGTAAAGGTTTTCGCTTATGCAGCGACCGCTTGATATCAGATACTTAAACCAACGTTTCCTCAACTGTGTATGGTGTTTATTTTAAATGCTTTTATTACGATTCTTAGTGGGCTTCCTAAACTTATTTTGGCGTGGCTTTTTCTGTCTTATTACTCATAGCAACAAGTAAACGTCACGTAAAACGTTGCCTCGTGAGTTCTGCGTGCTGCCTTTTACGTGTTTTATGATCACAGCAATTAACCGGCTAAGCTGTATTTAATTTTTAAGCAATGGTTGATCAATTGTCAGATCACACATGAAAAGCACTTTGGATTGCTATTACCTGTCTCACCGAGTCAGATCTCAGACAGATCCTGAGACGCTCCTGCCTGACACATTTATTTTATTCACGGAAAAAATCAAACTAGTGATTTCTCTTGGCGTTCAGTTTATACATTCAAACAGCACAGCACTCTATTTAAACTACTTACGTGTAAATCTATGTTATTTGTCCATCCATCCATCCATTTTCATCCGCTTATCCGGAGTCGGGTTACGGGGGCAGTAGCGTCGAGAGGCCCAGACTTCCCTCTCCCCAGCCACTTGGACCAGCTCCTCCGTGGGAATCCCAAGGGGTTCCCCGGCTAGATCCGGTAAGAAGTCCGCTCCGACTGCTTCTGGCGTTTTTAAAAAGTATCCCAGGGGCACGGTAAGGGTCGGAGATGTTTAGTCTATTTAATTTCTGACTATATAAAACGATTTCTTCGGTTTTAAAGTGTGAAGTAAACTCAGACGAAGTAAAATCCAAGCCGTTCACGTTCATGTTTACGATCCGTGTTTGTTTACCTTTTTTTCCTGCCAATATGGCGTCCACTAACTGAGAGTCACGTGGGGTCCGGAGCTCTATAGCAATGGCAGATTTTAATTCAAATGCAGTGCAGAGTTTTTACCTGAAGAGGGCGCAACAGTGACCGTTTTAGGCAGAAATTTTTTATTTGAACTAAGATGCACTAAAGTGCCAAATAATTGACTACACATGTCTATAGCATGATTAGATACTAATTTATATAGTTTATCAGGAAAAAAAAATATTTATTTGCGGGTGACTTGCTTTTTCGGTTGATGAGATGTGTTGAGTTGAAGCGCTTTAACACACCTGATTACCACCGCTAGGAGCTATTTTGGTTCTGAATGATCCAAAATCTCCACATGTGATGGTGGGAATGCATTTTAACGTGGTTTACGGTGAAGCTTCATCACTAGCGTGCACAAAGGTCACTCTTGTTGCTCTGCGTGATCCAGAGGCAGATTCAGATCTTGTCGACATGAGGAGGTCAAACCGAGGTCTGATTTATTTGTTGTTGGATGGTTTGATGCAAGTGGAAGAGACTGTTATCAAGCATCGATATGTTTTCATCTAGCCCAAAGAAAAGCTGTGTTTTCAGCCCAGCTTGGATGTAAAGAGGCAGCAGTGGAGCTGGATTCATTTGTGGTGAAATTATCACAGCAGAGAAGCCAAGCAGCCCTGGAGACCTGAGTCTGTTGCGTTCCAGAGCTCAGACATTCCTGCGTTCAGCCACAGGCATGGGCTGAGGCTGCTGCTTTCTGTGCCACCCGAGAAAGGCGCTCCGCCCGGAGCTGCACGACGCAAACAAACAATATCTGCAACGAAATGATCAAACTTTACCATGTCTAGCACAATGCTCGTGCATGTAAATAGGGACACTAGTGATTTAATGCTTTAGGTCTCCACCCCCATGCCCAGGATGTTTTTATCAGGCTCCCAGTTAGTCAAAGGTCAAAGGTTACTTGGCTTCCTTTTATCGCAGCTCGTTAAGAGTTGCAGCCTGAAATAGTCGCTGCTGAAAAAGATCAGGTGCAAGTCTGGTCCGGTTCTGTTTGAGGGACGGTGAACGAAGCGGATCCAGTCAGAAACCGGTCAAAAGGATTTAAAGACAAACGTCAGGCTCACTGAAAGCTGCAGATGCGGATCAGTCATCGCTGAAGAAACAATTAACTCCTCTGACTGTGTTGCTTTAGAGTCGAGTGTGAAAAAGAGTCCGGATGTGTAGCTTCACCCGTCAGCCTCCGGTTAGTTTCTCAGCTGATCTACAGACAACAAGCAGAGCAAACATTTCACCGGAACGAGTTTCTGTCTCAGGGACGCATCGGGACGTTTACTGGGTTGTTCTCAGAGTCCATCAGTCACCCTGAAAGCTAGCCATGCCTCCATGTAGGAGTTTTTATAAATAAAGTTTTAGTATTTAAAGAAGTAGAACAGAGTATTGTTTCTCATCTTCCAAAAAGAAGCATGTTGGCCAATTTAAAGTGGAAAAGCTATAAACAAGTAGATATCTTCCTGAATATTTGGGAGACATAGACGTCAAGTCTGATTGATGAGCTAACGGCTAGCGTCGTTACTTGTAAACCTTTATACTGCCTTAAAATACGAGTCACTTTGGACAAGAGCGTCTGATAAATACATAAACGTAATTCACATGACAGGTTTTACGTGGAATTGTGTTCATTTACAACATAAATTAAACTTTTAGCGACTAAATGTTGAACTTCTGTTCATCAGGCCAGAAGTTTCTTTAATATTTCTGCAGAAAGGATCATGGAACATTCCGGTGGTGTTGAGATTTATTATGAAACACTGAATCTTCGGAGACTGGAGCCGTTTTTAGAAGGCAGAAACACTGCTGCTGTACTAGCCTTTAGCTCATCAATCCTGTTGGCTATAAGCTCTAAAGGTAAGATGATTATTACACGTTAGCCAGAAGCTGGTGTGAATATGGTGCCAATTATATTTTGGTCTTTGTACGGTAAACGTTCTGCTCAGACAATGATGGGCGGGTGGTTCTGTTTCTGGTTTTTGGACGTGGTATTGAAAGTAGCTTGTGGTGTATCGCTCCCTCATGTTTTTGTTTACCACCCAACCGTGGTGATTTACTCAGCGGGCCGTTCCCAACTGTTGTTCTAGCAAAACGTGGAAGGAAAGGGTAGAAACTAGTCAAAATAAACCATAAATACTTTAAAAGAAGGACAAATTAGAAAGCAGCTTGTTCTGTGATGGAAGTATGAGGATAAGATGATTTCACGTTGAGTTAGTGGAGCTTTTCCTGTTTTATTTGTTTATTGTTGTTTTAAATTAAATGAAAAAAAAAAGTTTCAAACCCAAAAAATAAAAGCTCATCTTCCCTCTTTTATTGGCACCTTCTGTCTTCGCCTCCCTCGGAGGAGTCGCAGGAGTTAAAACCCGACTCCTCCGCTGGACTGTGGAACTCTTTTGTGCACACATTCACCAGAGGAGTGACGGGGAATGTCAGAGTGGGTCTGATCTGCAAACACCTTCAGGCTGCTGAGTTTGTCTCGCGTCTCCACAGCTTCAGATCGACTCAGACCAGCCGGTCGTCTCTGAGCTTTTAGAGCGTTTGTGTTGCATCGGAGAGGAAAAGCTGCAGCAGCGGACGTCCTCCTGGACATGTGAGTAGGGACGCTTTCACTCAAGCTGGACTGGAGAAAATCATTCATTGACATGAAGTTTTCCATTATCCACACAAGGTGGTTTATTTGTTCATCGGTTTAGCCTTTAACAGAAGTTTTTATTCAGAGCTCATCTGAGGTGTTTGAAGTCATTTGGGAGCTGCATCTTTGCTCTAAACCAGTTCATGACTGGGATCTTGGAATGTGGCGGCTGTAAATAAAAGACAACAGAAAAGGGATTGTTGAGCAGGATTGGAGCAGCAACAACGCATCTAATTTGGTCTAAAACGAAATAAAGTTTAGAATATTTGTTTTTATTTTTGTTTTATGTTGAGAGTCAGATGGGACCAGCTCATGGCCCTGGGGCCACCCGTGGACATTCATTTGTTTAAACCAGTTTAGGACCAAGAACCAGCATAACCAGTAAGCTGAAGCCCCCTAGTGGCTGGCTGCAGTGTAGGTTTTAACCCCACCCTTGCGATATAAACAGAATAAAATCACATAAATGTATGAATTATTGTTGGCTGTTCAGCTGTTTGTGTTTTGCCCTTTAATTATTAATTATTAACCACAATAAATCAAAACTGTTTGGAATATTCTGGTTTAGACTCGGATGAAAGAAAAGGTTTTACTTTATTTAATTAATAAAATCTATGAAACCTAAATCTGCAGGGAAAGGAGTTTTTCTCTCTTGTCCTTGACTTTTCCCTGGAAGCACGTTTTCCTTTGCCTAAAAGTTACTGTTTATCCAAGGTCCGTTGTTTTTCCACCATTCTGTCCAAGAGGTTAACACTTCCTCCTTGATCTCATGGGAGGATTAGGATCCCAACAGCCTCCAGATTTTTCCTGCAGAGGTCATGAGGTCACGCTGAAGAACAGCAGAGCAGCACTTAAACGAGAGTTTAGGTCTGGGACGCGTTATGTAATCCTTGCTATGATATCACTCGTGAATCTGACTTGCATCCAAACTCTGTTGGCTTTAAGAATCAAAAATTACCTCTGTCATCACCAGGAATAGGTTAACCATAAACATTGGCTGTTTATTTTTTTAAATTCAGCGCATCTAAAATGCAAGAATTACCACAAAAATAAGTTTTAAACTAGAAAATCTAAACCTGCATTTATGCTGTTTTATAGATTTTAATTATTTATAAATAACCGTTAGAATAAACAGTAAAAACATTTAACATTAGGATTCTAAACTCTGATTTTTACCCTGCTCAGACTAAAATGCACCATAATCCCTTCTTTATGAGAGAATTTCTTTGCTAAATAATTAATTTACACATCTCAGACAGACTTTTCAGGGCTTTGCTTGTTAAAAACGTGCACCGTCAGGCCGTAACGTCCCTCCAGGATTGTGATGTCTATCAGTTTGTGTTAGCAACAAGTTTCCATGTTATTAGTCCCTTAATCTGGATCAGAACCAGGGTCCGGTTCTGTGATTGTGGGGTTTGGATTAGGCTGCTTTGACTCCAAACAACTCTGATTGCGCAACAGCCAAGAGGAAAATAAGAGACAAGTGTCTCCTTGTGTTGCGGCGTGTCCCTGTTTGGACCTCCATTCAGAGGGGCACAGAGACAGGGCTGGGGGTAGGGGTGCAGCGCCAGACCTCCAGGTCCAGGAGATTTATAGTCTATTTATGATTAGCTGATTTCCGAGTGTTGGGTTATCTGTGGGAATAAAGGAGTGGTTTGTTATCTCCACATGGGAACAGCTTCTCCTCCAGCTGTTAGTCAAACACTCCTCTCTCTCTTCTCCTCCAGCCGTCTTTATACAGCTGATCTGACCAGCAGAGCCATAAAAGAGCCAGGATGTAATTCATTATGACCACAAGATCCCCCTAAAGGATCCTCAAATGTTACTTTCTCGGTTATTGTGCTCCTAAGCCTGTGGGATTTGTCCATGTGGGTCACTTAGCTTATTTAATACACCTCCTCTGAGCCCAGAGGAGGAACTGCTCCGGCGAGGATGAGCATTAAAATGGGAGAGAGGCTCTGCTGGTTCCACTGTCCTGTTTGTAAAGAGAAACCTCTTCATACGCCCAAATGCAGCATTTCACACTGTCCAGCGTTACGGAGGCATTTGTATCATCCCTATGGGGTTGTTGTGAGGGGGAAATGCTGATTCACTCCGTGACAGCTTTTGGTGTTTTTCAGTGTTTTTCTATTGACAAAAATCTGTGAAAGGTTGACGTCTAAAGTAAATTAGTTTAAACTCTGATCTGACCTGTTGGTGTCATGAAGCCCAGCATGGCTCACGCCTGTGGGAGTTTCCAGAGTATTCTCAGTGTCTCCTTTGGGGTGGCAGGGTCTCGGATTGGATGGACCATCTCCAAAAGGAGTAGGAAAGTCATCATGGTCTATTTATTTTCTAGGAGGCATATTTGCACGAATAGTGAGAATCTTTGGGAGGGTTTGGAGACCAAATGGCAAATGCAGAAAGCTGCAACTGAAAAAGTTGAACGATTGTCTGAATTTTCTTGAGTTTCTCTATAATGTCCCACACAACCTGACCTCGATGATAAGTCTATAGTGGATGGGTCTCCATTCACCCTCAGTGCATTTATTTCTACTGAGGAAGGTGTTTCCCCAATAAAAACACATTTATTGTGCTTTTTCACAAAATCAGACATGTGGTGTGGCATGTTATTTTAAATATAATAAAACAAAATAAATTAAAATATGAAATCCCAATGGGACGCTGGTTGTTTCAGCCGTAGACTGCACAAGAACGGACATAGTTGCTCCAGTTGGGTTTGGAGAGCGAGGAACCCATCCAATATGGCGTCAACGCTGTGGGTGATGGTGGCACCGGAGTTAAGTGCTCGCCCCGTAATTGGAAGGTTGCAGGTTCGAGTCCCGCTCAGTCAACCCACGTTGCCTGCTGGTGGTGGTCGGAGGGACCGTTGGCGCCAGTGCTCGGCAGCCTCGCCTCTGCCAGTGCGCCCCAGGGCAGCTGTGGCTACATCGTAGCTCATCCCCACCAGTGTGTGTGTGTGTGTGTGTGTGTGTGTGTGTGTGTGTGTGTGTGTATGTGTGTGTGTGTGTGTATGGGTGAATGACTGATTGTGTTGTAAAGTGCCTTGGGGGGTTCCAGGTGTAATGATCCAATAGTTACGTCTTACGTATGAACCATAAAATGTGAGATTCTATATAATCTGATGGATCCTGGAATATTACTTTAACCAGAAGATCTGAACTTTTTATTGCAGGGATTAGATAACACTTCGTATTAACCAAGAGTCAAAGAGAGATAGAGACCAAGTTTTATTTCTAAACAAACTAGAAAAATTGCATTTGTTGCACAAATGCTGTTTGAATGCTGGATAGCTGAAACTGTAAGCTGAAGCTGCTGAACAGCTGAAGTGAAGCTGAAACAAAGCAAAACTGTCAAAATGAGCTGAATGTATTTAAAGATTTAGAAGCAAAAATCACCAACAAGTGTAATAAAGCTCAGAATATAGGAGAAGAATGGATAAAAAATGCTAAACAGCAGAAAACTTTAATCTTTGAACATTAATTAAAAACTCAAAATTTGAAAGTTAAACAGCTGGCATTTGAATGAGAATAGTTTAATGGGTACATTTTTACAATTGGCTGAACTGTGAATTTAGAAATATTTGCTGATATCTGAAACTGATAGATTAACATATGTTTAGATTTGATATGGGATGGATGAATGGTTGGATCATAGACTGTACATACTGGACAAACGGATTCCATAGACTCCAATAACACGTTTTTTGTCTATAATGGGAGGTGGCCACCACCGCCATTTTGACCGTGTCACAGGTTCCGTCCAGCCCAGACAATTCCATAAAAGGGAAGAGAGGAGGAGCTGAGGGTGGGGCTGTAAGGCTGGGCTCGAGTGACGACACCCGTGCGAACTAGCTACGAGCTAACCTGAAGCTAACCCTGGCTAACCCAAAGCTAACGCGGAGGTGGGAGCCGAGCTAACGGATGTAGCCACCTAGCTTCAACCCAACCGGAGCTAACTGGAACACCCATCGACCTGAACCTCACACGGAGTTTAGGTGGAGGTTTTCGGCGCCTGTTAGTGACAAGTACCTGGATTTAAAAAGTATTGAATCGGTAAGTTTATAATTTATTTCCGTAATGCAAACATTTTGCTGTGAGCACGTTTTCAGTACCATATCTTCCAGGCTATCGCTCCTGAGTCGCACCAGCCATTAAATGTATAATGAAGAAGAGAAAATATATTTAAGTCGTATTTTGGGGGGACATTTTATTATCTTTCTTACAAAATCTGTGACCAAGCGTTTCACATTGCAACACAAGCACCGGTAACCATAACAGAATGAACAACAGCCAGCAGAGGAGAGGATGGCGGTGTTTCAAACACTCCCGGCCGGCGAGGAGAGCTCATTCCTGGGCTGGAGCCGACCCTCAGCACCCTGCCACAGGCTCTAACAGATGCTGGCGGTGTTTGAAACCCTTCCAGCGGGACAGGGGAACTCATTCTTGGGCGGGTCGGAGTCGGCCCGCAGCAGCGCGGTGTAGCCTACATATTTTGTTATATAAGTCGCTCCGGAGTATAAGTAGCAGGACCAGCCAGAATATGTAAAAAAGTGCGAGTTATAGTCCGGAAAATATGGCAGTTATTAGTATTCAAGCTAAATTAGCAGCCTAATTACATTTCATATATTTCCAAAATGTGATACTTGTTTGTATCTTGTACAGCCAACTAGCCTTTATTCTGGACTCAGTACAATTTACCAAAAGTAAAGAGACATTCTACAGATGAAGTAAGCACAAGATAACTTACTGGAAGAAACTGAATTATTATCATGAGAACCAGAACAAGACAGCCTGATAACAGTCATGTGAAAATAAGTTAAAAAGTATGTATGTATAATAGAAATAAAAATATATTAGAATTAGTGTAACTCACTGTGATCCAAACAATAAATCAGCCATAGCTGATTAGTAAATATGACATGAGGTCTGGGAGTTTTTAATTTTAATTTTTATTTTTTTCTTAGATCTGTTTAAATGTCACCATGGCAGCCTGTGTGTCTCCAACATCAGCTACACAAAGCAGCAAGTGTAAGTTCCACATACCTGTCTCACCACTTCATGTATGGTTTTGTACTTTAAACAATTATGACAAACCTGTTATTTTTTCTCCATAGCCATTTGGATCATTGGAGACAGCTGAGTGAGGCGTGGTGCCCAGAGAGCTGCAGAGACAACCTTGGCCTCCCTGACGTCTGTGTCTCCTGGTTTGGTTGGGGCGGACCATCGACATACATACATACATACATGTGCCGACACTTTGCGCCCTGTTTTATAAACTGTAGTGTTAAAAATAAATGTTTTTGCTCAATTACTGGAATTTCTTTGGTTAAGACAAAAGTGAGGAATAATCATTTACAAGTTATTTGTACAACAGGCCCATTTTAAATCCCAACAGTTTCTTAGCAGACAATAGAAATTTGTTCTTTACTAACTTTACTTGGTTTAAAAATCTTACTAAAATAGTGCCATATTGCAAAACCCAATCATACTTATGTAAACATTAGCTTTGTAGATATTTTTTACAGATATATATTTGTGTGCAACAAAAACCAAACTTAAATAATTTGTCATTCTTTATTGAAAAACAACAAAATACAGTTATACAGAAGTGTGGGAAAATGATAATGTGAAAGTATTGCTCTTTAAATGTAATCCTATTTATCTTTAAAAAGAAAAACTCTAAAAATGTCCTGTACAGCATCATGACAGAAGAATGGTGGTCTGTCTGTCAGAATGTGCTGAACAGATTTGCTCTTTGAAGAGGAGTGTCATGTTTGGAGGAAGGTACTTAACCCAAGACATGCAGAATACAACACTGACCAAAAACTGATGGAAAAAATGATTTATTTATAAGGAGGAACTTAAGGTGCACAGATAAGTCTGTGGTTGGAACTGCAACAACAGCTCATCGTCTGGAGGAGGGAGAACACAGGTGAGCTTAGGTTCTGGTTTCAGAATCCATTGTAGGCAGGCAGAGGTGTTCAGCAGACTTACTGTGGTGGGTGTATGTGTTGGCTGGAGGAGGGAGAGGTAGAGAGCCGGGGGAAGCGCAGGAGAGGGAGCAGAGGTGGAGAGAAGCGGGGCGTCCTGGTGGATGGGGCACTGGGTGAGATGAGAGGTGGGTTATGGAGGGTGGTGATAAGGTCCGTGTGTTGAATATCCAAATACTGGAGTACAGGTCAGTATCCAATGAGGTCGACAGGAATCCTGAAGAATGGTAAATCCAATATAAGAGCAAAAACACTACGAAATAACATTAATCCTAGGAACACTAGAGGTAACACGAGTGGCTGGTTACTACCAAAACTGAGGCAATCTTCTGGCGTCAAATTGTGTCCTCCATCCACCTTAAATAGGAAAGCACCCCGCTGATTGCTGATCAGGAACGGCTGGGGTGGAGTCACCAGAACCATGAAGAACGTGTCTCCAGAGACAACCCGGGTCCTGGTACCGATCAGGAAGCGGACCTTATCACCCAGAGCTGCCAGGTCACGCTCAAAGCCTTCATGTTCACGCTGCAGAGCCTGAACGCTGGCCAGGTCGTGGCTGTAGTTGTCTGTGTTCAGGGCCTGGTTCTTCTCCTCGATCCACTCTTTGGTCTCATCAGCGTCTCTGAGAAGACATCAGAACTCCGTCTGAGTGTGGGTCCAAACTCTACTGACCCGTAAGCGGTGCATAAGTGTGCGGGGTACCTGTGGAAGCGCTGCACCTCATGGGCGCTGCCCAGCATGTTGCAGCGAGCGCCAGCGGTTGTTCAGCTCCTGGAGAGAAACCAAACCCAGTGAGATGAAGGTGGACGCCAGCGGGCTGGACGCCGGACGAGGAAACCTGGAGACGGATCGCTCAGACAGTAAGGGAAGAGCTTCCTCTTACCTTGATGGAATTAAAGTTAGCCGTCGTCTGAACGCCCAACTGTACGGTCTGAGGTCAAAGGTCACAGGAAACACACACCAGTCAGCAGTCATACAGATGCATAAAGATAACTGTAGCCATGGCAACCAGCTGACATGTCCCCACTTTCACCAGCACCTGGTGCCTGCCGGGTCACCTGAATTCCTGTGTGATGTCAGCACGGTCGGCCGTGACTGCGGCCATCAGAGGTGACCTCTGATCAGCTGAATGAACTCACCTTCTAGGGTGACGCCGTCTTACCCCGGGTTTCCACGGGAGCCGTCAGCAGCATGTTACTGCAGCAGCACGTCTTGCACGCGTAAGCTGCTGCTTGGCCCTTCCCACGAGACGCAAAGCAGCAGGGGAGCAGCTGTCACCGACCGAGCACGAAGTCACACGAGTGACTTCGTCAGTAAACACAACACCAAGCAGGAGAAAACTACAACATGGTTTGTTTTATGTTCTGTCCGTTTTATAATCGCCAATACGGACCTGAAAAACAAAGGAGACCGCTAGCTAGGTGATAACTTCTCACGGGGCCGCAGTTAGTAACCTTTTTTAAAAGTAAAGTAACCGGAAGGCAGTACGTTCTTTATTCTGAAAATCTCGGTAGCTTCTCTCAATTTCCGCGTCCGATTTCCTGTCTTTCCTTCCCCAAAAATGTCGAACTTGACCCGTTTCAGAGGCGTCGCGTGTAGAAAATAGAACTGGCGCGTAAAGGCCGCGACATGCTGCTCCTGAGACGCGGCCGACTCGCGCTGCTGACGGCTCCAGTGGAAAAGGTTCTGTTGACCACAGCGGTTCCTATCAGCAGCTATGACGTGCTGCTGCAGTAACGTGCTGCTGATGACTCCTGTGGATAGCCGGGGTTAGAGTCGGCTTCATCCTGTAAACAAACAAACAAACAAATGAGTGGTAACAAAAACACCACGTCTGGTTCTGGTGGAGGCGGAGGACAACACGCACCTTTCCAGGAGCAGAACCCAGATGTTCTTGTTGCTACAAACAGAGATGAGCAGAGTTAAACCAGGAAGTGAGAGGGACCAGCTGCTGCAGACAGGTGACGCTCACCTGAGCCTGAACCATAGGAGCCTCCTCAGCCATCAGACCTTCTGACTCCAGTTCAGATGCCACCTTGTTGATGTCCCTCAGGCGGGACTCGTTGGCCTTCAGGTCCTGCAGGACAAAAGCACCTGCTGATTACCTTGTTGCTGTCGGGTTAACAGGTCTGGTGTTAGAACGTGGTGGATAAGAATGTTCTGACGGGCCGAGGGTTCTGAACTCACCCTGCAGGACTGGGCCTGCTCCTTCAGGGCCTGGATGCTGCTGCCGTAAGCCGACAGGTCCGACATCAGGGCCTCGTGCTTCTTCAGGAGAGCCTGTGGAGCAGAACATCAGAACCTTCAGCTCGTCTGACACAAGTGGAGCTTTCTCGCAGCGATGGTCCAATCGGATCCGCCACCGTAAAACAAACCCTGCTCAGTTCACCGCAGACGCAGCTCTGCGGGTGTTTAGTGGAAAAGCGTGAGCCTTCTGCCAGCTGCCACGTTTCATGGCTGCTCTGCAGCGGGAACACACATCACAGCTTGTAAACCGTTTGAAATAAGAGCGCCGGGAACACGTTTGTCATCACTTCCTGTGCGAGGCCAGCACTTCTACCCCTAACCCATGAGACCCTCAAACGAGCAACGACATCTGGTAGACAACCGAAGGAAATGACAAATACAGAAACACTAATTATGAAGGACTGGAAAGAGAGCAAAGAAAAGCGATTGGAGTTTCTCAGGAAGGGACTTCCATACCTCGGCCAAGTCCTCGTCTTTCCCTTAGTCTGGACTTCCAACGATGGGCTCCTTCTCCCTCATCCAGGACTCGGCCTCATTAGCATCCGCAAAGTACTGCTGGGCCTGCAGAGAGTCCTCCAGGTCCTGCCTCCTCTGGGACGCCTTGGCCTTCAGCGTGTCCCAACGTCCATGAAGCTCCCACAGTTTAGTCTTCACTTCCTCACCAGCGAAGTGACCTGGACCCAAAAAAAGTGAGCCAGAACCTGCAGACACCTCAGAAACATGTCAGGACCAGACCTGCTCTACCCTCCGCCACCATGGTCTCTCCTTTCTGGGTGACAGCCTTGATGCGAGGTTCATGACCTGTGATCTCAGCCTGCAGAGCCTGGTGCTTCTTCAGCAGGTTCTGGACACCAATCAGGTCCTTCCCTGAGGACACATGTTAGAGTTCAGCATTATGCAGTAGACAGACCAGCTTAACCCAGGGATTTCTTTCTTCTACAATCTGCTCTTTAACTGTATTATTTCCTGCTATTTCAGCTGTTAACTTTATTTTTTCTCTAAGTGTTTTTCTCCCCAGAAGAAGCTACAATGGTGTTCTGCTGAGCTGTGGTGGCCTCATGGAGGGTGCCATCGTCTAGCACACTGCTGCTAACCACTTAAACATTCTCCCTCTCCTGATAATAACATTTTACTTTCTTTGATGTTGGATGTACTACTGCTAGTTTACCCGTTAAATTATAGATTCACTAGGATAAATACAATAAAGTTTATCTCTCGCCAAATAGAATATTTACTAAGAAATCACAATGTAACGTGTGTGTGTGTGTGTAAAAGCCATGTGTAGTGTTTATTTATGAAGCATATGTTGTTGGATTTTATCCAGAATCGAGACTTTGAAAATATATAGTTTAATTACAGTTTGATTTATTTGACATCTGTATAATGTTTATTATTTTGTTTTTCCCCCCAAATACCTAACGTTTTAGTTAACATGAATATTAGTCATTCATCCCAAAACATAAAGTTACACATTTTAAATTTTAATAGGGGAAGACTGCAGGAGGGAGCGGTAAAATATAGGGGGTCCCCTGCAAAAACTAACTTCACGAGTCTGATGAAACTTGCTGGTGTTCCCGCTGCTTCTTTGGTAAACAGCGCCAACAAAAACAAAGAAACTTGGGATCTTGTCGGCGTGGCGGTGGGATTTAAGGGAAACGCTGTATGCCCTATAGACTTCTCAACGAGCTGCAGTATTTCTCCGGTCAGCCCGCAGCAGCGAGGCGCGGCATCGGTCAGCCTGCCCGGCCTGACCGCTGGGGATTACCGGATGAAAGAATGGAGCACAGGTGTCCCTCCAAGCGGCACGCTCCGTCATATTTCAACCCATTTTTATCTTAAATGCACTGGGTTTTACCCTATTACCCATCTAAATATGCCCTATTAATTATTTTACCATATTTTACATTTAAATTTCATGGTTAAACAGTACATGCTACATTTTAAACTGATAGTTAGCTAGCTACTTCGGTAAACTCAGCTAGGCGGCAGTGACATAAAATACAAATATAGATTTTAACTTACCGAAAAAAATGAAGTGGAGACTCTTTGGACGCTCTATTAGTGCAATTAATACCACAGCAAGTCATTTTGTCCAACAATTGCACCAATAATATCCAAAACAGAATTCACAAGCACAGAGACTCAAAATCCCGACACAGTTTCCAGGAGGGACCGAGGCTGTACTGAGGCCTTTCCACGGAGCTAGCTCTGTGGTCACGTGGGTCTGAGGCGGCGGTCACGTGTGTCGGCTGCTCATTAATTATACAGAATTTTAGGCTTTCAATACACTTAAACAGAAGAGTGAGAAAAAAATTCACCCCCCTCAGAGTTGTCATGAGTATAAACTAGATAATTTAGACAAAAAACCATTTTTTGAACCAGGCTGTAAACATGTTTATTTCTGCTGTGAAAATGGCATTTTTAACATGGGAGTCAATGAGGATTTGCTCGCTTCTGGTACCAGCCCCCAGCGGATGAGGGTGGAACTGCAATTTCTCTTACTTCCGGGATGGGACCATTTTCTGAGCGGCATTGTGGGGGCTTGGGTTGGATGAATGAAATAACGGGTGGATTGTTGGATGGATGTTAGATGGTTTATTGGATGGATGGATGGATGGATGGATGGATGTTAGATGGTTTATTGGATGGATGGATGGATGGATGGATGGATGGATGGATGGATGGATGGATAGATAGAAGCATGTATGGATTTATATGTAGATGGATGGATTCTTTAGGCCAAGCCGATCAATTTGATGTCTCACATGCGTGGGTGTGTAATTCCATTTAGCCAGAAGATGATTGACCTCACTCAACCAATCAGGAAGCTGGGAGGGAGCGGGGCACTTTCCCACCTTCTGACGGTCAATCAAATTGAACTTATTTCTAGTTTTAAGTACAAACTGTTCAAAAAGATCAAAAACAGGAGTCTGTTCATGGCTCAATATTCTGCTTTTTATATTCATTCATATGAGACTTGGTTAAAGTGATATGTAGTTCCTTGTGTTGCCATGGTAACAGCTAACACATTTAAAATTGAATACAAGATTCATGAGACCAAACTGGTCGATTTGATGCGTCATTTGTGTGGGTGCTGGATCCTGATTGGACAGAAAATGGTTGAACACTCTCAACCAATCAGAGAGCAGCACTGCCTTTTCCCCAGCTATTTTTAGGCCTGCAGCTGTACCCCTGTTAATGAGAGAAGCCTTTAAATCTGTCCTTCAGAAGTGAAATTGGACCTGTCAAACTTCTCATCACCATTCGAAAAGTACTGCACCGATTTGAAAATTTCAAAAAGCATGAGTGGCAGAAGGCTTTGATGATCATCTGTGCCGATTTTTATGTGCCTACCATGAATTTTCTAGAAGCTACGACAAGAAACTTTTAGCTGTCTGAAGCAGATCAGAGCAGAAAATCTCTGTTCCTTTAACATGGGTTTCAATGAGGGAAAATCTGGGTCTCTCCTCTTTCTGAGGCTTGTAGCGAAAGAACGGTAACACTTACAGATAAAATGAAACCCATTCTGAAAAGCTGACAAAAATTCCTACTTTTTGAGATATAATTTGTTTTGGTAGTCCAAACGGTCTGGGTGTAGTAAAGAGTTGTTCACAGAAGATGTGAAGTTCAAAAGTTAGAGTGGGGAATTTTCAAGTTAGAGTGGGCAGAGACCTTTTTTTAAATTTGAATTTTCCCAAACAAATGAACCGTACGACCACAATGTTTGGAATACAGTCATGAATTATAGCTCAAAACGAAGGTATATTCGTTAGCTGTAAGCCAGTGTGTGTCTCATTTCAATCGGACCTACGGTTCTCTCGGTACAATGCCAGAAATAAAGCAAGGGAGGGTCACTGCTCCTATCATTATAACTTTTGTGAATTTTTCTGAATATTTCAAGTTGTACCTCAACTTCTACCTATGATTTTAGAAAAACCGTAAAAGATATCAAAAAGCCTCTTTAATATGTTAAACAGGAAAGTCTTGGGAGTTTGTTAAACTTTG